AGTTCCCCCGGGGGGCGGGCCCCCCCCCGGCCCCCTGACTCTCTGATTAGCCTGCCCGCCCTGTCAATCAGGCTGATCTGGAGCATTGGCCTCTCCCCATTGTTCCTGGGGACTGTCAGTCTCAGGCTCCTGATTTGCCATCGACCCTTCCCCTTTTAGTGCTGGGAGCTAGCCAACCAAAACACCCCCACTGAGTGTTAGTAAGGGGGCAACAGTCCCCTTACACAAAGTCTCATTTTCCCGGGTGCTGGAGGGGAAAGTTCTCAGGGGACTGGCTGGTCACTGCACAGACCCAGGGGCTGCGGATTGTGTCTCCGGATGCAGCCTGGGCAGAGAGAGGCACAGATTTAAACAGGAAACTCTCACCCATATTTGCATACCTCTTTCCTTATAAGGGACCCAAACTCCTTCCCTGCAGGCTGTGAATTGCTTGCTCCAGGGCTCAGAGAGGAGTGAGATTGTCCCTTCCTGAGGGTCTGTGCAGCGCCCAGCCCCACTGCGGTGGGGTGTAAAAGGGAAAGAAGCAGCTGCGGGTGTGAACCCAATTCCCCGGTTATGAATTTAGGGCCTGATTGTCATCAAATTGTGCGATCGTGGGAAAGGGGTCTCCGGAGCCCCTGCCCAGGGGAACGTTCAGACACAGGGGTCAGTGACTGGGGAGGGGTCAGGTCACAGGGTTGCATTGACCTGGGACACCCGCTGGAGAGCTAAGTTTCCCTGGGGTGCCGAGTGCAGTGTGTCTGGGAGTCTTTCTGTAGGCGAAGATGCAGGCAGCTCTGAAGGGAGATTATTATTAAAAATCGAAATTCATACGGATGATTCCATTCCCATTCCTGTTCCCATTCCCACTCATACCGCGCTTCTCGTGTATACCTAGATCGTAAACTCACTGGGGAAGAAAGAGTCCTTCTGCTCTCACTTTGTAAAGTGCCTCGCACTCTGGGGTCTGGTCTGTGATTGGAGGCCTTAGGCGATAGGACCACAACCATCTACAACGCCACTGCACGTCCAGAATGGGTCTCGTAAATCTTCATGTTTCTTATGAAATGTTTGTGTGAGGCTGAATGGGGGACACCGAGCCGGGGATGGGAGCAATGTAGGGGAAATGCTGTAAAAACGGAGCAGTCGGCCCCTGGAAAGAAGGCAGCACTAGGGCTGGGAAATATTAAAATCCCACTTCACGCTGATGTAGGGCTCATTCGGTGCATAGGCCCTTGTTCTGGGACCTCTTCACAAGGGTTCATTTCACCCACAGGGAATTACGAGTGGGTTGAGGGGGGGTAGATTTAGCCGGCTCAGCACGTTGCAGACGTAGAGCCAGAGTGACATACTGGCTGTTTGCTCTGGGCATTGTGCTCTTCGGTGAGTGAGACCAATTTTCTCAGCCACTGAACAGAACATCTGGCATCTACTCCTGGCTCTAATATGATAGTCGGGCAATGCAGTCTGCAGTAGGTACCGGTATAAAGACTCCTTTTGTATCTTCCCAGCCAAGGGAGGGAAGAATAGTCTAGTTGCTACACAGTGAATATTCCTGGCGTCCTTCCTCTAATTTCTTGGCAGAATGATAGACGATTCGTAGAGCAGGGCCCTGGGAGTCAGGACTCCTGGGTTCCCTTCTGAGTCTTTTTCTGAGCTCTAATGACCTGTTTGACTCTGGATGAGTTGGCGCTAAATTCACAAGTGCTTGTAACTTGCCATGGAATCTGTGCGAAGCGAATAACCAGGCCGGAAGGACGCTGTGTCGGCTGCTGCTTCTGTCTGTGACTCACTCCAGAGTCCAGAAGGCTGGTTCCCCACAAGGTTAATGTTAGTGCAGGCTCTGATAGGTTTCCTCTCACTGTGTGTCTGGCACAGTAACACACGGAGGTGTCTGCGGGTTACAGGCCCATCAGTTGCAGGAACACTCGGCTTTTGCAGGTGTCTCTGGTGATGGGGAGGCGACTTTTTAGAGCATCGTTACAGTTATTGCCTCCACCAGCCCAGATACCTCCCATCCATTCCAGCCCCTTCCCCGCTGGCTGGCGGGCCCAGTGCACCCCGTCGCTAGTGAGAGAGAATCCGGACACGGTGCAGGTCAGTCTGAGGGTCTCCCCGGGGTTCTTGATTCCCCCACCAGACTCCACCAGACTAATCTGGGAATAGACACCTGCAGAGGGGGAGATAAAGTGGAAATATTGCAGTGATTCCCAGAGGTGCAATTATTAGGGAACACGCGATACCGGGCGCCCAGTGGCAGTGCAGATCCCGCCCATACCCGCTGGGAGCAGCAGGAGGAAGGCGCTGGCCAGGCTGGGGGTCATGTCTGCGGCTGGCGGCTCGTTCCACAGGCGGGATGGGAAGCTGAAGCCCGGCACTGGCTCTGAGCGGTGGGAGCGGCCTGCGGCTGGGCTATGAACAGGGCCCCGGGGAGCTCATTTGCATGGGCCAGGGGTGGGGAGGGACAATATAACAGGCGGATCTAGGAAGTGTCAGGTGTGTGACGCAGCGTCGGGTTGTTAAATCTCCTGGCAGGTGGATTCCAGAGTCCAGCTGTAACACGGAATGTTCCCTTCTGCTATTTCTTCTGCCCCTGGAGATTTGCAACCATGAAATTACTGACTGGAGAAAGTCTGTCTGTCTGTCTGTTTCTGCCCCATCCCTCATTTTGATGTTGGTGTCAATGGTATAACCTAGGAGCCAGGTCCATTACTGAGCCATTCCTTGTTCATGGGAATCTGGAAAATTAGGACGGAGACAAACTGTGGAAAGATGATTCGGGAAATGTTCTGTTGGGGGCTGTATTGTTGGAAAGGGTTTGGACTCAAACTCCTCAGTCTGGGGAGAAGGGTCAGTGCTGCAGGGGCAGAAGAAAAGTCACCCCTGGCGCTCAGTAGCTGGACAGGCCCTTGTGATGCCCCTTTACAAAGGGGTGAATTTCACACAGAGGTTTATCAATGGGCAGCCGGGGAAGGTCACTTCTAGTTTATTGGCCAGACCCTTCCGGCCCATAATCCGCACTCCGGGCTCAGCGTTCCCACTGCTCTTTGCTGAGGGATCCGCTTCTCCAGTGACTTCAGTGGGAGAATGAGGGAGCCTGAAATTGGAGCGTGTCTGATCAGAAAGCCCCAGGGAGTCACTGCGGGTGTCCACAGAGCGAGGGCGGATGCACCTGCTCCTCCCTGAAATCCACCCTGGGCATCTGCTCCCTGCGCTCCCCGGGGGAGACGGAGTCAGCGGAGTCACTGTGTGGTGCCGACAAGGGGAGATACTTTGGTCTGTTCTCATTGCTGCGGAGCGAGAGCGCCTCCCCCAGGAAATCCC